ATGCAAGTATTTAAGACCAGAGTTTCAGTAACACATGCCAAAGGCTGATACAAATGAATGGAATTAGAAGGTATCTAGTTTATCATTCAACTCTTTCTTCAAGAAGATGTGGGGGAAAAAGGTATTCTGATATCATAATATGACAAAGTTATTTTCTCAAAATCAAAGACATTCTTATCATAGTATCATAACTTTCAAGTTCCTCTGACTTCCTTTGTCCATTCAATCGTATTTAATGGATGTTTATCTGAGTGGTGGCTAAGACAGACATATTACTCAGAAGGAGAATGCTTTTCCTGTTAGTTGTTCAAAATGCTGTGAGATCAATGCAAGTGCTGATATGTTCCTGAGAGCAGTCCCCATTTACCAAGTTAATTGATATGAAGTCCTTTATATCTGTACTGCTTCTGGCTGGCCCTCTCTTGACTAGACTGGCAGTGTCTGTGCAGCACATAGGATTGAGCTCTCCCTGCTCTAGGCTGCTCCACTTCTGTTCATACACTTCCAGAAACTGGCCAGTTATTGTTTTACCAGTTGCAAATTCATCCCTTGTTTTCACTGATTCTGGAATCCACAGAGCCCATGAACAGGAATGTGGTTTAGTCATACGAAGTGTGGTATCTGTATTTTTGCTTTAGCACAGTTATTTTCCCTTAAAAACATGCAGCTAAATAAAAGTGAAGAAGTTTTGTCTGCCTTGCTCTTTACTGCTCTTTGGGCCAGGCCATCAAGAAGAAGGGGAGAAGAGTGCTCTTGCTGAGATCGACTGGGCCGTCCCTGCTAGGGGGACTTCTGCTGTGAGGAGGGAAGGAATAGAAGCAAGAAGCTTACAGAAGGGGTAGAAGATAGTTAAGAAAAGCATGGAGCAGACCCTGTAGCTAGATCTCCAAGAAGGAAAAGAATTATTATCTTCATTCTTTACTGCATGCAGGGGGAAACAGAGCGACAGAGGCTGAGGAAAAGGCTGAAGTACTCAGGGCCTTCTTTGCCTTACTTTTTCATAGTTCTTGGGGTACCCAGTTCCCTAAACTGGAAGTCAGGAATGGGGAACATAATGAAGCTCTCCTAAACCAAGGGGAAATGGTTAGTGACATGTTACATCACTTAGACATGCACAAGTCTATGGGGCTGGATGGGATCTACCCAAGGGTGCTGAGGGAGCTGGCAGGGGTACTCACTGAGCCACTTTCAGTCCTTTACCAGCAGTCCTGACAAACTGGGGAGATCTCAGTTGACTGGAAGTTAGCAAATGTGATGCCCATCTACAAGAAGGGCTGGAAGGAGAATCTGGGGAACTACAGGACTGACCTCCTGGGCAGGGGAAGGTCGTGGAGCAGATTATCTTGCGTGCCATCATGCAGCATGTACAGGATAACCAGGGTTTTCGGCCCAGTCAACAAGGGTTTGCGAAGGTCAGGTTCTGCTTGACTAACTTCATCTCCTCTTATGACGAGGTGACTCAATTCCTGGATGAGGGAAAGGCTGTGGAAGTTGTGTACCTTCATCAAGGCCAAATGCTGTGCCCTGCACTTGAGTCATAACAATACAAAGCTGCTTGGTGGAAAAGGACCTGGGGATGCTGGTCAACAGCCTGCTGGACATGAGCTGTCCCCAGATGGCCAAGAAGGCCAATGACATCCTGGCTTGGATCAGAAATTTTGTGGTCAGCAGGTCCAGTGAAGTGATCATTCCCCTGTACTCAGTACCAGTGAGGCTACACTTCAAATCCTATGTTAAGTTTTGGGCCCCTCAGTGCAAGAAAGACATAGAGATGCTAAAGTGTGTCAAGAGAAGGGCCACAAAGCTGGTGAAGGGTCTGGAGCACAAGTTTCATGAGGAGAGGCTGAGCAAGCTGGAATTGTTTAGCCTGGGAAAAAGGAGGCTTAGGGCAAACCTTTTTGCTCTCTACAACTACCAGAAAGGAGGATGTAGTGAGGCAGTGGTCTGTCTCTTCTCCCAAGTAACAAGTGATAGGACAAAGGGAAATGGACTCAAGTTGTGCCAGGGGAGGTTTAAATTGGATGTTAAGAAAAATATCTTCACCAAAAAGGTTACCAGTCATTGGAATAGACTGCCCAGGGAAGGGGTTGAGTCACCATCCATGGAGGTATTAAAAGGCATACAGATATGACACCTGGGGATCTGGTTTAGTGGCAGACTTGAAAGTGCTAGGTTTGGATTGGACTCAATCTTAAAGGTCTTTTCCAATCCATGTGATTTTATGATTAAGTGATTTTTTCCTAACTGCTATGGGGACTCTGCAGTGTGCGTTGCCATCCAGGCCATCACTGAAAGGATACTATACTTAAAAGTGAACTAAGGGAAAAGGACCTGCCCTGTCAAGATAGGGTGGTGAGGACAAAGATTTATTTTTTAAAATTTTAAGTTCATCTCCTTTCATTCTGTTCTGCCTTATTCTCTGTTTTTCAAAATATATTATTCCTGTTTATTTTCTGCTAGAACTGGCTCAAGTTTAAAAGCTCTCTTGGTGGTTTTGATATGCTAGCTATACAGAAAAGATCTAAAGGATCCTATCTCAAAGCTATTGCTGTTTTGGGATCCCATTTAGACTTTCTAGTTTTAGAAACCTCACTGAGAGTTCTAAGGGTTAAATCAAACCAAGACCACTTGTCACTATAATTGACTGTTTATGAATAAAGCATGGTATTTGTCAAATTGGAATCCAACCCAGTTGAATTCAATCTTAAATTAGGATTAGGTCTTCAAATTGATGTAAAGTATGACTGAGAGATACATAGATATAACTGTGTGTAAAAAAAAGAGGGTTGAAACTACTGTAAATTTATAATTAAAATAGATCTTTACTAATTTTTTTAAACACAATTTTGAGACTGATTAAGAACTTTAATACAGTAATCAAATTACCATATTTTAATTGAGTACTGTAAGTCTTTGTTCTTAGATATGAATACTTGGTAGAGACCAGGAGGCCATCCTTTCTTTTATGCTTAGATCTCCAAAGTTAGAGTTTTGCAGACTACATAAATTAAAACACGTGTAGCTTACTGTCAGTCAGAGGTAATAATCCTAAACTATGTTGCCACTTTTTACTAAGTGTCTTTATGAAGCTCATTAGAGGAGTTTGAAGTCTGTTAGCTTTTCTTCCTGGTTTCTGCTGTTTGGAGCTTTGTTGATATTCAGACTTGCACACCCGCAGCAGTTTTGTGTACTGAAAATAAAACAAGTTAGGATGTCATTTAGATAAGGAAGCAACTGCCACTCTTTTCCCTGTGATGGTATTGTACAGCTGAAAATGTCACAGAACTGAGTTTTCTAGAGGCCTTGCAGTCTTCTGGAACCTGGCAGAGTTGCCTTTGGAAAATTGTGATGGTTTCCTGGCTGAATGCTTTTATTTGATGAGTCTTTAGATAAAGGAAGGGAGGCACATGTTTTCCATCAGTTTTACTTGCATGCTTCTTTCTATAAAGGGAAGAGGCATAAAGTGTTTGGCTTAAGGCTTTACATTCTGTGTGCAGACAACTGCAGATGCTCAAATCACCTCCTAAATCATCTTCACGAATTGGGGATTTTGACCTCTTGGCAACTCTAGTCATTAAAATTTCTCTAAAAATTGAAGGTAGATTGGGGTGATATATATACTTGTTTAGAGAAATTTTGAATATCAGTCTGCAATTACTGAGAGAGAGAGAGTAAAAGGAAGAAAGGAAGGGAGTTAGAGGGAGGAAGGGAGGAAAGGAATGAAGGGAAAGAAAAAAAAGAAAGAAGAGAGAAAAAGAAAAGAAAGAAAGGAAAGAAATTAAAAAGAGGGAGAAAAAGAAAGAAAGAGAGAGAGAAAGAAAGAAAAAGAAAGAAGAAAGAGAAAGAAAGAAAGAGTTAGTTTAGGATCACTCTACCCTGTCATTCCATGATATATCATATATCTCATATATAACATTACTTCAGGATTTAGCTCCTGAAGTAAAATGATTTTCTGCAAAGTTCTGTTTTTTTCTGATAAGTTAATTTCAGCCCTTATGATTGGACAGATGCCTGAAAATCTGTTGGGATTAAAAATCTACATTTTGAGAATGAGAAGAGAAATAATAACCCAAAGTGTACTAGTCTAGTGCTGGTGTCATAAGTTTGGGGAAAAGCCAACAATTCAACAGTTCTGGAAATATGATAGGCTTAACAGTGACAAGGGAATATTAAAATTGTACGAACCGAGGAAAGAAAAGCCAATCCTGCCTCACCACACCAAGAAGAAGACAAAACACCAACTTATAGCTGAAAAAGATAGTTATTCTGTTGTGAAGTCATTCCATGTTGCTACAAGTCAAATTTTTTTAGATGGATATACAAGATGTTTCTTACTTTATGTGCTGTGTGCTGTTCCCCTGGAAAGAATAAAACTGAATGTTTAAAACAAGTGACTGTAATTTTGAGTAAAGCATATATGTTAGTTAGGTGTCCTGGTGTAATTCCAAATAGAAAATTACATTTCCAGCCCAACATAATAATAAAAAAAAAAAAGTCATAGCAGTTTTATTTGAATCTAGTTACTATTTATCCTCTACATTAATTCTGCAGTGTGATTAACTGATTAACTTAATGTTAAAACTTCATATTTTCTACTAAAAACAAAACAAAACAAAACAAAAGAAAAACTTGTAATTTTTCACCAATGGGTCCTATAGATGGTTAATGCTACTATACTCTCTCATTTAAAGGAAAAAATACTTACATTTTTACCAGTTACTTCATGCACTTTTTTACTACTACAATTGTAGGTATTACTGCTAATGATAATGCTAAACTAGTAGAAAAACAGTCATGTTGGCAAACACAATTTTCCATGACTGATAGTTTACTTTTTTAAATACACTGGGTTTCCAGGAAACTTCACCTTTAAGAAATTGTTCAGTCACTTGCTACTAGCAAATGAAACAGCCTTATATTGTTATATTGTCATATTCCATTACTGAATATATGATTGCAGATAACACATTTTGATCTCCTCTTTTTCACTCTTTCCCCAGTGAAAAGGCAGAGTCTGAAGGTTCAGATCAATGCAACAGATGACACCGTTTGCATGAGATATCTCCGACCAAGTCAAAACACCAAACTAGAAGGTTTTGTCCTGGGTTATGGAAGCAACTTCTTTTCTAATCAGTACATTCCTTTACCTTCAGAAGGAAAAAACTATGTAACAGAACTTGGTAAGACATATTTTCTCTACATGCTTTGTGGGAACTATGCATGAATTATAGGAAGAGTGAGGATAATATGTATTTTTGGGTTTCTTAAATTTTGTTTTTATTGGGTTGTTACTCAGGTTCCTTTGTGTTTGTTTAAGGTTGCCTTGAAGAATTTCAGGTGAAAGTAGATCCTTCAAGGAGAAAAAATATTTTTTGTTGTTTGGAAAAGTTTGCTAATGATATTTATTTTGAGGATTTTCGTTGTACTAAGAGACTGTACTAAACTGACCACATCACAGATCGAATGGGATGGTTTGCTTAAAGTTGTAGTTGCAAAGTAGAATACAAGGGAGATATGCAAGTTTTTAACATATAATGCAAGAAGTAGTAAAACAGTCTTGAGAACTGCATGGTTGATTCCCTTTGACAGAAACATTTGTATCAAAATTATGTCTTTTCTGACAGGGATCTACTCTAGTTCTACATGTTATAGAATAACCTGTAGCTTCAATGTCAGAAGTTACTGATGGAATTCCATGAGTTTTTTCATGGAAGAGATTAAACCATGTCAAGAACATTATATTCTGTTGCCTGGAACAGGGAGAAAGAATAAATAGTTAAAAAATTGACATACCAGGATTTGACCTTTTGAGAAATCTGTTTAATCTCTAAGGGTTTTCCTGTTGCTTTCTCTAAGATTTTCTAGCCTGAAATGAATCTGGATTAGTCCCATCATTGTAATGCTGGTGATCATGGTGTCAAACAAGGGGGAAATAAGGACACGTAAGCACAGAAGTAATAATTGCCATCTTTTTGATGAGGTCAGTTAAGGCCATTGAAGGTGTCTGCTCCAGGCTGAAAACTGCAGAATAAAATACGAAAAAAAATAAGATGCTAGACACAGAATAATTAAGTTATTAGATACTTTGATTAGATCACTGTTGCAAAGGTTGACTTTCCTTTTCATGAGTTGTTACTCCTGGAATCTCTCTGTAATTCTCTCACCAGTCCAGTGTTTGACTTCATAACCATCGCTTAAACTGTGTCTGTCTAATCTGATTTATCCCATATGTAGCTTTTGAATCAGTTCACTAAGAATGATGTACAGGATTTTCTGTAGTATACGGAAATATATATATATACATATATATATACATATATATATATGTACATATATATACATATATGTATGTATTAGGCATAATAGTACCTGTGTAACCGTATTGCAGGACTAGTGAGGATTAATATTTTTCAGGTTCTCTGAGATCTTTGGAAAGAGGAAAAAGGACTGAATGTAACATCATAAGCACTGACTATTTAATAGCAGCTCTAATATCGAATGTTTTACGAAACTGAAAACAGAAAGCTCAGAGTCACCTGGAACTTAAGGGATTTCGGGATTTCGTAACCTTAACGTTAATAGCTAATACCTGGAAACTGTAGGCACCTTTCTTTAGCTCTACAGCACATCAGAGCACCAGCCGCATGCATAGTCATTAAAGCTTATCATTAAGCACTCACAATCTTGAAACAATGAACACAGAAGATGAGATACCCCACAATGCATACAATCTGTAAGAAAATGATAACTTGTCCTTTCAAACAAAGAGTATAGGTCTACAGAGCAGAAAGAAATGCCTTAGAGACATTTCCTTGATTTAGCTCTCCATCCCTGGTTTTGTTAACGGAGCAGCATATTCTCTTTGGAATAATTGTCCTCAGTTGGAACTGGAATATGGGTGATGAAGCAAGGATTAACTTTTTTTCTTTAATAGATGACACAGTATGTATACACAATAATACATATTTCTAAAGCCCATGAGTTCCATATTTCCCACTCAGTCACTTTTGATTAAGATGAAATTTATTCTCAGGTTTTCTGCTGGGTCACACACCTCTTATGATTCTGTTAACAAAAGACTTGAAGTCAGAAGATTTATTAATTTACGAATTTGTGTGTGTATAGGTGCATATATTTTGAAAGAAATTAATAAGAACATGATATTTCCTAGGGTTTTCAAGAGAGCTATATGGTTTTGTAGAGAGTGTGACATCCACCTGCATTTCATCCATTAAAATATTCAGCACCTCACTGCAATGGTTTTTACCTTAAAATATTTGTTTTTCTTTTGCCAGTTATATAGTAAACAAGCCAGCAATTGTGCAACATTATCCTTGAATTGGGATCTGCCTGCAGAGGGAATGTACAAAGAGAAAAGGATTCTGTTTGGTTTCCTGAACTTTTAATGAATTGATACTGGCTGGCAACAAACTCTTGAGCAGCTTCATGCATTGGTAGATAGGTTAATTTGAATCACAACTGAAGGGTAAATGATAATGATGAGGCAACATCAAAGTTTGTTTCAAAGAAGTTTGTGTTTTTATCAGGATACCAAATGTGTTTTTGAGTGTACTTGATGAGCTTACATCACAGTAAACAATATTATTATTGGTCATGGAAGCTATTCAGACAGTGTCAAGAGATATCCAAATGTAAATTCAGCTAGACTAATGAAAAGGTGAAGAGACTCATCCAAAAGTTTTGGGCTTGACTTAGACCTTTATCTAAATTCGTTCAGTCTGCCTGACTCATAAAGAAAGAGTATTTACCTGAGAAATTTGTGTTAGTTTGTTCTAGCTTGGCTAGGAAGGCTACAAGTCAGCCTTCTAGAGATAGCTGATACTGTTGAAGTAACCCAAAAAATTGGGTGGAGACAGTGAAATTTTGTAAGAATGAACAGTAATTACTTAACAGAGTGAACAAAATCAATTTCCCTTTCAGTTTCTAAAAACCAGCTTAGGGTTGGGCAGTGCTTTTGCTTTTGCTTTTTTAAACAAGATTTTACAGTGTAAGAGGAGAATGTACTGGTAATTCTGCTTTATAACAACCATAATAAGTGGCATGTGAATTTTGCCTATATGTATATAGGGCAAAATTCTAGTACCCCTTTGAATATATTTTAAAAAGTATAATTCAGGAATCTGTGTTAGAGCAGTCCTTAGCTGAAAGATCTTAGTGTGCAGTTTTTTGTATCTGACCAATTACCAGAAAAGTGCAGATATATTAGCTACATGATTTCCAAGATGCCAAATCATGTGAAAATTAATTCAGCATTATGTTGCTTCCTGACAACTTCCCAAAAAAACAGATTCTCATTGTTAATGTTAGTTGACCCTAGAGGAATGGAGGATCTGGAGGAGGTCAGCAGCTGCCCGTGCATCTAAACAAGTGGATTGACCAGAAGCAGGTTCATTCATGCCAGCCTCTTTGTCCCACTTCTCTGTCTTTTCCCATGCATGATACACTGCAATGCTTTCAATACTCCCCTTTCTCCACCTTTGGCCTTTGCCTTTGTAGTAAATCTTTAGCAATCCCTAAATGCAAATTAAGGAATTGCAGCCTGAAGCTAAAAAATACTTTGTTTTGATTTCTGAATTCACTGGCCTATGAATTCTAATGATATGTTTGTAACATTTTATTTTAGAATTTATTCTGACTTCATCAGTCAGTTCATTCTTATGTTGTTTTGCTTCCAACTGCATTTCTGTATTGGCAGAACCCTGAACTGAATAGTATGCTTGAACAAAACCAAAATTTGCTAGCATTGTGTAGTGCACATTAAATGCCTGCTGCCACTGATTTGATAGCCTAGCTCACGGGACATGGAAGTAAGTGTTCTCCTATACAAGTCTGATTTCATAAGTGGCATGTATTTTTGTGCAATTATGGTTGTCTTCATAAGCTGTTAAGGTGGATAATAAAAGCTTTTTTCTCTTAGTAATTTTATTAATTAATATAACTGAATCTCAGTCAGTTTTTTCTTTTACAATTACTCCAGCGTGCTGGTTTGCTTTTGTGAAACTTTGCAGTCTTTGAAATATTTCTTCTGTGAGAAATTGTGGGTGTACCTGTATTGTGCATGTCTTTTGGACTGTCTGGATGAAAAGAAATCTGAGAAACTGAAGAAGTTAGGAAAACTATTTCATCTAACAGGTGACAGTTCATCAAGCTGTAGTAGTCTTGATGTTTAAAAGCTAAAACAAGATGACCGAACATTTCTGTCTAATACTTTTGAGAACTGAGAGGCAAAGCTGTAAGAATGTGTACTGAACACATATGCATGTCTCTACTGTGTGTGTTGAACGCTATAGATACAAATACTATTGCTTTACAATAATGATGTCTTAGGTATGTTACTATTTTTCTCTTCTGCTTCAGAAATCATTAGGTTAGATGTCTGTGCCTGCAGGAGTGCTGTGCTTTGTTTCAATCTGGCATTGCTTTATTCTGCTGTGGACGTTTAAACTTGAAAGAGCAGTTTTACTGATGTATTGGTGCCTCTGAACTGAATGGTCGAAACAGCCCACGTTTGGGGAACTATATCACTAAGAATTAGGCTTGGATTTGTTGGCCAGCACTTCCCTGGTACATCCAGGCATTTTCCTATAGTCCTTTGTGGCTGAAGAATTGAAGGTGGTCACTTTTTGGACATTATTTCTGATCTGAAAGGAGCTCTTAGCCAAGATATTTGTCATTCTAGCTTTAATAAAGGGGCCAGAGAATAATAGGTTCAAAAAAGTAAACTTATTAAGTTAATCTTATAGTAGCAGCCTTCTAAGAATGAGTTAGGAATCAAGGAGCCGCTAAGATTTTCATAGGAAATTTGGAAATGTATTTCAAGCTGAACTTGTTAAAGTTTTCATTGTTCTGTAGGGATCCTTCATTTGTGAGGCTCTGGATGAGAGACAGACAAATCTGTATCTTGTATCTGTGTCATATATGTCTCTGTTGTATACTGATTAATGTTGAAATGATTTCTGGAGGCAGATGTTGGATTTGTGCATTTGTGTCCAGATATTTTGCTACCTTTTGCTATCTACCTCTTATTTCAGCAATTTATCTCTTAAGCATTAAGATGAACTAGTACAAACTAAATTATGGTTTTATTTAGGTTTTGGTATTTCACAGCATTTTCTTTTTCTTTTCATGTCTTGCTCACTTCTCCCCAAGGTTCCTCCTTATAGGCATGAATCTGTAGAGTGGATTATGTGTATATAGACATCATAAAAGAACACAAATTATTATAAAATAGTTCTTGCAGCTTGATAGAGTTTAATATATGAGTGAGGCAATGTTTTAAGGCGCTGAAAATTAATTGAGTCATAGTAGCATCAGATGATTTCCTGGTTGTGATGATAACTGACACATATATTTCTCAGCAAGAGGACTGAATCAGTGCGAAACCTCTGAAGTTATTAAAAGAAATGTTAAATTGCAGTGGAAGACTAAGAAAGAACTCCCATTGCTAAACCTGAATCAGGGCTTATTACATGATATTAAAGAAGGTGTCTGCATTTCTTGATTTCAGATACCTTGGATATAGAACATATATTTGCCTAGAATAAAAGCACTTCAAGGCATATGTTCTCCAGTCCATGCATAATGGTTTAATACTGTGCATCAGACCAATGAATTTAACTTAAACTATAATTGCTGTACTCTTAGCATCTATCTGGCAATGTGTGTGGTTCTGCTCAGGAATCATTGAATCATATTTCTAAATTAAGATATACTTTTAGTTAAGTTCAGAAGAGAATTTAATGTTGCATCCCAGTTATTGAATGTACTTGTTTAATACTTTCAAATTCTGATTTCAGTTACTAGGATCACAATATTTCTTAAATTCAGTGATTCTCAACTGGACAAGTGGTACTTTTGAAACCTGCCTGTTCTATAGCAGCACTCTCTCAACATCTAGTCTTAGTCCATTTTCCTAAATACTTCCTTTTATAGATGGTATTACAGTCAGAAGAGCCATTTGTCTACAAAATAGGGATATGTTTTATTTTTTATCAAGACAACATTTGTTAAATCCACCAAAAAAAAAAGCTTAATGAGCAGCACATAACAAAAAATATTTCCACAGAGAGCACTTTGTTACAGAACAAAAACACCTGTTAGAACTAATGATTTACAAAAAATTCCAGGTTTTGTATCTTTGAGATGTACAGAAAGACATTTTCTGTCTTTGTTTATTACCACGTTTTGTTTAGCAGTTAATCTATATCAATGTTGCTACACAGGTCATATCAGATTTCAGCCAGAATTAATTTTTCCAGTTATGGAGCAGAGCAAAACTAACTGTTCCAAACCATTTGGATAACTTTCTTTCACAATTTTTGGAAATTTTGCTGAACAAACTGTAATTTTTTAGAGCTTTGAAGACCGACTTTGTAGTTCACAAGCTTTCAAGGTGATGCTTGAAACTAATTTTGTTGAATACTTGTGAGAGTCATAACAGCATAACAAGTGGTCATGGATGCACAGGAGGAAACTGGGATTAAAGTGCAGAGAAATCAAAATATTTTAAAATGTCACTTATTTCAAGTTTTAGGTCTCAATACAAAAAGTATCCATATGATTACACAGATTCCAGAACATTTTTCTGTAGATGAAGATGTATTTGTACTTTGGCGATGCGCTTTTTTTGACTAATTCTTTTGTCCACACTGCCTGGAGCAGCTGTTTTCAATGTTTATCTTAGTTACTGGGTGTGGTTGAAACCATTAAAAAATGGTAATTAAACAATTAAAATTCACCCATAGTATGGGCATCCAGTGATTTAGATGCACAGAATCAGTGAAGTTAGAGTGTTTTTACCCACATAGGCTTTTCAGTAGCGCAGAAAGCTTCTGTTTTTTTCAGTACTGCTTTTCTTTTTTCTCTCTTTACAGAAATCTGGGTGTAAGAGAAAATTGAATGATTTCTTAGTGGTTTTGTTTAACTGGTAGAATTCAAGCAGTCGGTTACACTGAAATATGCAGGAAATTCAGTCTGTCATGTATAGATACAGATCTAGATAAATGTATCTAAAGTAGAATAAGAATTTTATATAGATCAATGCTTTTTTATAGGAAGTATAGCGAATATAATTTTGATTGGTATATGGTGAGCCAAATTCTGCCCATGGAAGCTCCTATAAGGACTTCTCTCATGTTGCAGTTCGATGAGAATAGAGCTTGGCTTTAAGTAGTTAAGAAGGGCAGAAATCTCTGATATCTGATTTTAAGAGTAAGGGAAAATCTTATTTCTGAAGAGGAATCTCCCAAATTAAATTCACCATCTAAAAATTGTTTTAATCAAATCATTTATTATTTTAAACTCCATAGATCTTAATGAACACATGGCTAAAGATCACAAAGATTGGATAATGTGTCAAGCATTCACTGAATATTTGACTTTTTCTTGTTAATTATAGGTTAATATATTAATCCCTGTTTCAAATAAATAGTACATCTGTACTAATTGCATTTGTCTTCATTTACAGATGCAGAGCCACGGTATTTGGTTTCAGTAAGACCAGCACGTGTTTCAAACAAGAAATCTTGTTCAGGTATTTTAGCATTACTGCATTTTTTTCTTGAATTATTTAAAAGAAGACAGGATCTTTTATGTAACTTTAATATGGAGATGACTCTCAGGATCACTGGACTGTTGCAAAAATAAACTGATGCCCCATCCCTGGAAACACTCAAGGTCAGGCTGTGAGAAATCTGATCCAGTTGTAGATGTCCCTGCTCATTGCAGGGGGCTTGGACTTTTAAAAGGACCTTTTCAAAAGGGCCTTTAAAGGTCACTTCCAACTCAAACTATTCTCAGATCTTTATATGATTGTTTTTCTAGTTCCTGCTAACTGCTTGGGATTAATTTCTACTTGGTTTTGTGCAGACATAAAACAGTATGTCTGGAAAGATTTTGGAAAGTGATTTACCTTTCAGATGCAACATATATATACATATATATATATCAAAAACCACAAAAACAAAAAATGCCCAATGCACTATTTGGTCATAATTAATTTTTGTATCTACAGTCTACCCTCATAACAGGATTGAAAAGGCATGAGAAGAAAGTTAATTGGGTCTGTATCACAACAGTGAGAAATAGCACCGTTAGATCAGTGGCTTACAAACTTTCAGGGAATGCGTTGTCACCTGTACATTTTGAGGAGGTACAGATCCTTTAGATTTTTGAAGTATGTAATGTGATGCAAATAATATATCAATTTCCCTTAATTAATCATCTTCCGAACACCAGAGGCTCTCCTTAGGTTTATAGCAGTCTATAAACCACAGGTTTAGAATAGTTTGTCTCGATCATTTGTTCATTTTCACCTTTTAGCTTTTAAACTTTCTTTAAATAAAGTTCGTCCTCCACACAAGAGTTGTGCTCCTTCATTCAGAGCAAAGCTAAAGTGAAGGATCATGCAAAAGCTGTACATTTTCAATATAGTAGATAGTTAAAAGAGAAAAATTCCCCAGATGCAGATGCTGACACTGATTTTACCTACAGTTAAAGGCAGAAGAACTTTTGTAGGTTTTATATTACTCTTGATGAAGAACACTGCGGAAAGTATCAATTATCTATAGACCTATTTACAGTGTTAGTAAGAAATCTGCCCAGAAGTTACTATTTCTGTCACATCCAAAGAGAGACTTCCTGATATCCTGAACTCTGTGTCATACCTTCTGTGATATGGGACAAGACAGCCGCAGCCTTGAATTTAATCTATGTATAGCTTATTCTTGTACTAAGCATACCCAAATCACCAATTGCTCATTTTCAAAAACTAGATTTAACTGGAATATTAGGCTGAAAAAAGAGATCAGATACTGTCTCTGCCCATTTTGTAAATCATACATTAGAAATGATGACTGTGAAAAAAAAAGAACTGTTGCACCTTTCCCTTCAAGCTTAGAAGTGAAGCAGGCCTTCATTTACTTTACTATCCAACTACAGGAGAGAGAAGCTAACTTTATATATTTTGTATGTAGGTCGGACCAAGACACAAAAGCCTCTGCAGCTGGTAGTTGGCACTCTCACCCCAACCTCTGTGTTTCTCTCTTGGGGCATTCTAGTCAACCCTCAACATGACTGGACAGCAACAAACAACTGTGCTAGTGACAGGTAACATAACAGAAAAACCTTTTTTTTTATTACTCTCTTGATTTAACTCAGCGTAGCTCTCTGCTGTGCCTAGAATAAGTTTTAATTGGAAACAAAAATGTTGGGAACAATAGTTCTGAATGTGAAGTAACTTTTCTCACTTACTCATTTGATGCTTTGAAAGTCTTTATTTGTCTTGAGTGAAAATTTAGTCAGAACTCTACATGCTAAAGTAAAAATCTTGCTATTTCACAGTACATCCTTTGTTCTTAAACCAATTGCCTTGACTCTACCTTCAGTTGTATCTTAACCAATTGAAAGAAACTTTGTTAAATAATAGGAAAATTTTTTTTAAAGTTGGCTGAATAAAAGTAAAAAAATTCTTTTGTTGTGCTGTGATAGGGGAATGATGCCTTGTTTTAATGGTGTTTGATTTTTGTTTCCTATATCTGATCTTATTAATGAAACAACTTTCCTGATCTTGATATAATACGGCTTTCATTAATTTTCTGTTGTAAGTAAAATAAGATCTCATCTACTGTAACATATTTGGTGTGCTGCAATTACTTAATGGGTGTTACAGTAGGTGGAGAGCTCACAAAGACTCACCAAGTAGCAGTTTCAAGAGAAGTCTTAGTGCTGGGGAGCTTCTCATTAAAGTGTACTCGTACATTTTAGGTAACTCTTGGCAGATTAATAAAATTAATCTTTGCAATTATTTAAATTGTTAATACAGATGTTTTCCCTGAGGCTCTCAAACCATGACAGTCATTTTGGTGTTCTCTTTGTATTCTTCCTTTCATGACAGAAGAATTTTTTTTGCCTCCATTAACATTGTGTGAAACTCCAGTTGACTCAGCAGTGTTTCGTAAAACCATGCATTTGTTAAACCACGTAAAACCATGCATTTTTTTCATTATTCAGAACATTTTTTTCCCTGTCTAATATTTGTCTGGGTGCTGTCTAATTTAGACTTGAATCTTTGGTGTTCATAATAGAACTCCCATTGATGCCATTAGACTGAATGTCAAACATACATTATGTCAAAAAAAAAACAACCCATGTTACCAATATGACCTTTTTCTTAACTCTCAAAAGTTTTGGACTAAACCCTTTCAACCTTCAAAAACTTCTCCTGAACAAATTCGGATCTTCCTCACCAACCAGAATTTCAAACACTTTTGAAGAAAACAATGTTAATGTTTATTAGGAAATTTCTAAAAATGTAATTTGATTGGACTTTTTTTTCAGTAGAAGTAAAAGTTGGTTCAGGCTTAAATTTTGCTCTTTCAATTCAAGAAAGAAATATTTTCCTCCCGTGAGCAGTCAAAGATATGAGCTGGAGGAGCCTTTGAAGTGTTCTGTGCACATAAAGATTTTAGCACCAATTTTACCAGGGAACGTATCTTCTTTATGTGCTGCGTCAGCACCAAAGTTACAGCACCCATTGTGCAGTGGGAAGGAAGAACACTTAGAAGAAGCCTATATCCTGTACTAATCCACCTGGAAATTCAAGGCATATGGTATCCACCACAACGCCTTCATCAGCTTTGGGTTTTCTCCTCAGTAGCTGAATTTTCTTGTTGGACATTCATTGACTCAAAGTTTGAACAAATTCTTTAACACAGTATGGGATGTTTTTCAGTTAGCCCAGTGTGCTACTGGTGTCCTGTTATGTTTAGAATACATTCTGTATGTTTGCTACTATAGTATAAGACAGTTGTTTTTGTTGTGTCTTTGTGTCAAGTCATGGTATGCTGTTTTTAGTTAAGTGTTGTTTAATTTGGTCAAATGATTCCCCTCAGAAAATACTTTTAATGTGCCCTTCATTTTGTTGAAATATTGTCAGGCTGTATAAAAGTACTGTTTCTGTATTTCCCTTTTGTTTGCATAAAATGACTTGCCTATAAGAGTCGTATCATTCATTTTGTTTGAATATCTCCCTCTATTTCAGCTCTAAAGATTCACTGACCCTCGGGAGTAGCTAGTTTAAAAACACAGAAATCAAGCTACAAACAATCATGTCAAAGTATGGGTATATACCTATTTTGCAATCAAACAGAGTAATAAATTTAATGAAGAAAAAAAAGTCACTGAAGTGGTGCTCTTATTTTGTTTACCTTTACTGGACCAAACTGCTTGTGATTTTGTATAGATGATGTTAACAGTTTTCTATGTGACCATGGTGTGTATATCGGTAATTTCAAGAGAGATTAGATCCATATATATTTCTAGTCAGTGTATAGAAGAAAAACTATTAATTTAGGATATTAATTTGAATGGCAGTTGATAATGTATGATAAGAAAAAAGTAGGAAGTAGCCCACTCTTAGCAAGTTAGCATTGTGTTAAAAGTACAAGACTTAAAAAGCAGTTAATGAATTCATCAACATTTCTGTCTACTGCAGGGGAATTCTACTCACTTACTTGATTCTTTTTCATCTGGTGTGTTCTCCTTACTGTGGCATGTTGCTGTGTACTATTAATCATTCTCAAAATTGCTGTTAGTGACTAACCTCTAATCTTTGACATTGGCATTATGTGGCAGTTAGGACCTCCTAACTCAATTCTGTCAGTAAATATCCCACCATGTTTTAGATTTGTAACTCTGTATGTCTTGAAATGGAATCGCTGTTCTTGGCCTCAGATTTTACCACCCCTGGGTGGACATTAGGCTTTTGTACAAATGTTGCATAATATAAGTTATTTGAACATGTTGCTGACTCAGAAGATGAAAACCACATGGAATAGCACAGATCTGCTAGCCAAGATTTTCTCTGGTGCGAATCTGATCTCAGTGGGATATTCCTTAGAAGATCTGGTTTTGTAAGCAAATGAGTTTTGAATTAGAAGTGCCATACTCTAAAAATGGATTGGTATCTTTTACTGCTTCAGTGAAATTTTTGCTTGCTTCTTGAAGGCACATAGTGGTCTTCTGAATCTACAAAGTGCTTTTTAAGAAACTCCAGTGAAGAAAAAGTTCTTGTGACATTTTTCAACAAACCATTCTTTGCTTTCTTAACTCTCTAGAGATTAAGGGCATAAGCCAATAGAGTGCTGTGTATTTCCTTCAAGATAACCCCAAACACTAATTTCTTGTTGAAGCAAAGGTATTCGCTGCCATTTTTGTGGACCAAAACTCTTTGAAAGGTCAAATTTTGAAGCCTCATTGAAGTGACATTTATATCTGATCAGAACCTTATGAAGTGACTACTATCTCTGATCAGAGCCTTAACACTAGAACAAAAACCAAAACCAAATAAAAAGACCTAAACCAAAAAACTCAAGTGATTAGTTCTACGTAACTGACGAAACCCACATGACACCAGAAGGATTCCACTATGTGGAGTTACCTTCTCAACATCCTCCTTTTTCTTGCACCAGTGTGGGACAGTTGGCAAGGGAGGATGGGAAAGTCATGATAATCTACTGCACGGCCACGTTCAGTTCCTCTTTTTATTGTTTCCAAGAGAGTAGAGACTTGTTTTCTCCCTGCCTCTCTATGTTCAAACAAACATTAGCTGCTACAGAGCTGGGGCTATCTTTACTGCCCATTTAAGTCTGAAAAAGAGAGACTACTCTATAGATTTTTCTTTTTTTTTGCATTTGCTTTGATTAGAAGAACTCTGAAAATCCCAAAATGAAGCTGGGGTCAAAAAACATGGACTTTAACTTTCAGTTCTTTAGGAGGGAAAGTCAGGGGAAGGAATAGAAAATGTTATTTTTCATGTTAGACAAACACAGGGTGTGTAGATACAGTAAAATATAGTATTCTATTGAGTGGATTGTATAGAAAAACAGACATGCTTTCAGACACATGTGAAATAGAAACTTAAAACCTGAAAGTATTTTTTTAAGTTAAAAACTTTGACAAATTCTGACTGACATTGTTTAAACTTGTTTGCCCGTGATTTAAATATCCTAATGTTGTACTTGCAAGTGGTGCATATTTTGTGTTTTATTTAGTTTGTATCTGATGCTTTAAAAAAAAAAAGGAAAATAGTGAGCGAAAAACAGAGAAAAATCCATTTTCAGTCTATGTAGTATACATTGCACAGTACAGAGTGGGGTTTTTAAAACCCTAAATTCAGAAATATATGTGCCTGTTCCTATCTACAAACCTCTCACTATGCAGCTGCCAACTTAATCATACTTTGTGTCATACAAAATGTATTTCAAACTTAGAAGAATTTCTTAAGGAAAACATACAGCAGCAAATGCACTTCTTGAGTTTCAGATGCTTTTCAGCTACTGCTGTGGGAGCATATTCTAAAGGCTTGTCTAAACATGGAATGATTTGTTTCTCTTCAGCCTCTCATTCTTCAGAGCTCTCACTCTTCAATTTCTTTCAGTCATTCTACTAAAAAAATTACATGAAGAAAATGCATGTTAGCGATCATGTAAAATTGAAAACTAAATTAGAAAATGCTTTGCAAACTTAACTGTAATTCTTTCCATCTTTTTATATATGTCTGTCTGTTACTTTGAAGTAAACTTGGCAATAAAAAGGGAAATAATATAATCAAAATAATATAATCAACTCCGTGTGCCAATTTGTGAAACACTTTCTATCTGAAAAATCAAAGTTCAAACCATTTCTTTTATTACTTTCTAGCACTAAATGGATTCTGTGCTTCTAATGAAGTGTAACAATAAACAAATAAATAAATATATTTTATTATTAATCTTATTTTTTAAAGTCTGATTACATTCCTATGCACGAAAATGAAATGAGTCTTACAATTTGTCTCTGGCAACATGAAATGACAGAGCCGGAATGTTCTTATATCTCCAAGGCTTAATTGTTTGTTTAGTGTTACGTTTGACTAAAATAGTCATGATTAAATTGTTTGGAGTTTTGGTTGGGATCTGGTTCCAAACAAACCCATGATATTTATACAAACTGACCTACTCTGGAAATCTCATAAAACCATCTGCCTTATAAGATTTCCAGTACCTAATTTTTCGTGCCTGAATACTTGACTCTGCGAGTGTTTTCTGGGAATTTGACTGAAAAGAGATTTAGTGAAAAATTGGAAAAATAGCACTGGAACTCTCGGTGAGACAGAGTCATTCACAGTGATAGTGATACAAAAAATAATGTTTTACCTATCCATCTTAGAATTTTACTTCTTTTAGTAGCAAACAAGATCTGCTTAATTTCAAAAGCAAAAATTCTGTATTCTGCTTCTTTAAAGTGCTCATTGTATTTTGATTTCTAGTGTAATCAAGAGGCTATCTCTAAGCAGAGCACTGCCTTGCACTGTAGAGTTTTAAAAAACCAACTATGTAAATTGAACATAGAAGAGAAACATCCCTCTGTGTTGGGCTGAGAGTCTTGTATCAGCTTTGCCGACAGAGTAATCACTACAGTGGTTGGCTTACGGAGTATTATCATAATTTGTGGCTTCCTTTAAATAACGAAATTGGTCTTATTTTATTTCTGCCATCACATTTTGTGTTCATCTTATGGGGAGGTAAGAAAAGTCAGAATATTGTAAAAGATAATGTAGGTAGAGTTTCAAGAAGGCAGACATTAAACATTCAATGTTGCTGCACAAACACATATCGAGAGAGGCAGTCTTGGCAAATGTAGCCTCTTTATTCCTTTGCTGTAGTGGGTTCAATTTCTTGTTTTGGGTCGTTTGGTTTTGTGGTTGTTGTTGGTTTTGGGTTTGTTTTTTTTTCGTCCTTATTGCATGAATTAACTATTCTGAGTGGAACAGTATCCCTCACTTGCTTATGACACCTTTACTAGACAACACTAGTTGTCTAGTAAAAACAGAGGAGGTAAAATTTCTCTACAGTCCCCAGGGTAGCTTGATGGGAGGTATCCTTTAATAAGTGAAGCATTGCCTGTTAGGGGGAGAGGCATAGGTACTAATTTTTATGGAGCTTAACAAAAGAGCTCTAATGTTTTATAGAGTGCTAGCTGGAAAAGAAATGAAGTGAACTCTGCGATCTTTTGATTAGCATTTGTTGTAAATAGAAATACAAGAGTTATTCAACAAACACTGTTCTGATAAAATGTACCCTTTTCATATCCCTCACCATATCCCAAAACAAATAAAGAATCAACAGTAAATATTAAATTGTGATTGTTAAGTCTTTGTACCTGCTGAGAATCCAGAATAAAATAAATTCTTACCACATGTAACTGAGTGCACCACCTCCCAGCTGAAACATCTAACTAGTATTCACAATTGTGAATAGCATTCCTAGGACTGTTCCAAAGTTACTTTGGTATTAGCTGTTATTGATGTTGACTGTTACTTTGATATTAGCTATTAGGGCCCTGCAGTATGCAATCAGTTTTTCATATTCTTACCTTACAGAGATAATGGGAAGTGTTCTGTCTGAGAAACATGTACTATACTCTCCCTTCCGTGTGACAGTGACTCTGCTCTATTTCAGCCTGCCTTCTGTCGTAATGGGAGGGATCTATGGAGATGTCTCACTAAGTATTTGCAGTTCAGGAGAAAGTTTTGTGGCTTCTGACACACACAGCAGGCCAGTTGCACACCTTTTGTGCATGTATGTCACTGCCACAAGGGGATAAATACGTGTGAGTGATGACTGGATGTCATTGATTTCTCATGTCTTCAGTTATATGTGTTGAGTGTTTGACAGTGCACTTTTTTATGAAATGAAGGTCTGAAAAAGGGAGAAATTAAAATTATAACAAAATTCAATTGGTAAAATGTTCTCAGTCAGGCTTTGAAGCTGCATTTTATTCAGCTGTTTGTTGCTCTGGTTTAACAATAAATTGTTGTTCTTTTATGACAAAACTTGGCATTTCCGGGTTTGTACTCCATAAACAAATGATTGCATTTCCCCAAAAGTGCATGTTGTATACAATTTGGATATTTTTGATAGTCAAACGATCATGACTTGCAAATTGTTAAATGGAACTTCATTTTTGTTTCTTTTTATTGAAATGGTTGAGGAAATTCTGTCATCGCAGTCAGTGTTTTTAGCATGCACTATGGCAAGTTTTCACTGAAATAATTATATGCTTGATGAAGTTTTTGCAGGCTTGGAAATCTTGAAGTTGAGAGACAATTTCTTCTGTGCTATATGTTTCTCTTTCTAATGACATAGTTTGTCATAACTGTGAAAATCTTGTCAGTTTTTTTAGTAGTTTCGAATTTTAGTGAAAGATTTCTTCTTGTTGTGCAAGTGTGGTTGGTATTTTAATTCATGCTAGGGTGAAGGAATTTGCAGGTATGGAGGCAGCAATCAAAAACAGAACATTTTTTTCCTTAGAAACAAGTGGGAACAGCCACTTAAAATCCTATTCATTGTGAACAAGTTTTTAATGGTTTTTTTTGTCGTTTCTGATACAGGTATTCATTTAGCCTGTTCAATAACTGAAATGAATCAGTATACTCTTTTTTTCCCATCACATAAAATCACTTTATTTCTATCCCATTGAACTAAAACAGGTAGGAAAATGTACAGATGAAGAAGAAAACAAATGAAAATTCTTCTTTCCGGCACAGTGGGAAGAAGGTGGCTATTTCCACTTGAGATTAACATTTTGGTCATAGATCTATCTATACTTATTCCAAATTCCTTACCAAAAAAGTGTACAAGATCCAACAAGATGCATTTATGTTGAAGACTGGATTTGCTTATTACCTCTATATCCTTTGCCTTTGACGGGGAGTTCAAGCAAGCTTTTCCTATCTGTTAATGTCTGAGTGACCACTCATGAATGGATTAAGAGGACAAAGGAGAAGAAATTTTCCTTATTTTAATGTTGCCAATAGTTTCTTGTTAAAAATGTTCTTTGCCAGCTTAACTGATAAGTAGATCTATTGTTTGACATATGAAATTTGCATAGATCACAGCCCACAGAAGTAAGGAGCAGATTATTCCTTAGTAAGAATTCATAAGAGAGAGGTTATTCACTATTTCTCTTTTTTTTGTCTTTTTTTTTTCCTTTTCTTTTGAACTTTTTAGATTATACTATTCTTGCTTTGAACACAAAGTAGTACAGCTAATGAAGAGTTACATGAGCCAACATAAATACTGGTTTTGTAACTTGGCGAAGTACCTGAATGAACTGAATTGTAGCAACTAAAACACGAGAATCTATATTTTTGGTGCCAAGAAAAAAAATTGATAGTTATAAGATAAAATATATAAACAGAGCAAATCATTGTGTATGCAAATATTTTCCATACTTGCCTTGTCTTATGTTGTGTTTTAATAATGAAATAGGAATTTCCTTGTATTCAACATGTTTCACATGTACTGTATTCTGAAAGTGCTCTTCTGTAAATTTGGCAAAGACGGCTTTGTGCATTGACTACATTATATTTGGTCCACCAAGTAATTTTATTCTGGACCTTTGATACCTTTCCAGTTGATTAAAGAACTTTTTTTGGTTGGTTTTTTTTTCCTTAAGTTCGTTTCCTTCGTCCCCATACATTTGCCTATATAATATCTGGAATAAATCTCACAATCTTAAGTTGCAAGCCTTAAATTGCTATTAAAGTGTGGCAAAATACAGTTGGGTGGAATTCATTCTTTTTCAGATGATGTAAATGTGAAATGGATATGGGCAATGTATATGTATTATTTATGTTATGTGTAACAATCTTCGGTAATATTTGGATTAGAAAGTTGCCAAGTGTCTCTGAGATTTGTTTTTACAAAACCAGAAATCTCCAATCCATTCTGGTAGTGATTCAGTATGTGTATTGAAAATGAGACTATAGTAGGCTGGGGAGTTCTTGTGCTGAAGCTCTCACCATTTCCATTGCATTCTTATATTGGTTAGCATTGCAGTCATACTTTTTCAGGGTGGTGCTGCTTGATAGAATTGGGCAATTTCTGCAGAAATGTTTTTTAATTTCGTAGTCTGTTAGCATTTATCACACTACTGACTTAAACTGCTAAAATTAATGTCTTGGTTTATTTTCTTGTTTGAAGTGTGGGCAATGCATAATGGGATCACTGAATGAGGAATGTGTTATACAAATATCAACTATTACTGGTATTCTCTTGAGAATGTTTTGGACTAGTTTTGAGGGAACACCTTTCACTGAGTCGATGTAGAAGATTCTGAGAAGTCGGTTGAGTAGTAGACACATGATTCTATTGACTAGTTCTGGCATATCTCAGAATCACGGGAACTGCTTGCAAAATGAGGTTGCAGTTTGTGGTTAGAACCTCATTCACAGGGTTGTTTGTGAAGAGGAGACTGTTCTTTTGCCCTTATAATGTCCTGGTCTGTATGATGGGATGTATATATGTGAAATATATGCTGGCTTTGATGATATTTGAAAACCAAAAAGGGCCAGAAAGAACAAGAACAATGGAACAGTGGTGGGTAGAAGTTATTTTATTAATTCTTCACAAAAATGGTTGTTGTTTCTTTGTGTAGATTTTTCTTTTTTTTTTTTTCCTCAACCAGATTCTATACAGTTCGCTACAGAGAAAAGGGTAAAGACAAAAAATGGGTTTTTCAGCTCTGCCCAGTTACAGAGACTGTGATTGACAATTTGAAGCCAAACACACAGTATGAATTTGGAGTTAAAGACAACGTAGAGGATAGTATTTGGAGCAAGACTTTCAATCATAAGACAGTTCTCTCTAGTAAGTATTTGACAATAATTAATCATATAGCTACTCAGTTTGACAGTATTTTTCCTCTATTGTGGTATTAGTTAGAGTAAGGCTACTGATCAGGTTTCTATTGTTTAAATGCTATCCTTTATGCCCCTAACAAATTATTTTAGGAATTGGTGAAAGTAGAAACGTTTTGTCTTTGAAAAACTGCCACCTACTTTCTGAAAGGTGTTCTCTTGTCATTGCAAACAGAGGATCTGCTTCAGGCTGGTGGAACTCTAACAGTGATTATTTCAGATACATGTAAAGTGTTGAGTATGTGTATTTATACTTCTGACTGTATTCTAAGGTTTTTCCTTAGGCCGTGAATAATAAGATGATCAACTAATCAAGAAATCCATCAACCATCATCCAACTAATCCATTTAATTTCTTCCATCAACTAATTTGAGTTGATGGAAATTATTATCCTTGTTAAAATCTCCTTTTATACCTGCATTTATGTTGAAGGTGGTAAAAAGCTAGACAGGGCCTGTCTTATCCAGCATGCATCACAATGGGCCCTTTCTGACTCTGCTAGAAAATTAAATTTGAAGCTAATTTTTAGTCATGGAATTTCATGAACTGTGTTTGAAGCATGCACTGTCATGTATGCTTTCATTTGTGTTTTCACAGAGGCAATGTATTACATCTCTGGCTGTTCTGTCAGTCATATTTGAAGGTTTTACTCTAAAGTCCCAAGACAATGTAGGCAAAGGGATGTCAAATTAACCCTTGAAAAACACATGTACTGTTCAGAGAATCACTTATATCATTAGAGGAAATGGGCATCAGCAGTCTTCCTCTTTCTAATGAGAGGAAGAGAGCACTTAACAGATATTGTCCAATTTAATTTATTTTCCGCAAGCACGGTATTTCTTACCTGTGGTGTTGGTCAGAAGATGCTGCAAACTCCTATGCTTAGTATTTTTAGCTTGACTCAAACTGTAAAGAACAGGCATTCTCATAAGAGAGCCTTATTCATATGAGATTTCCAGCTGAAATTTGATTTGGACCTCAGTTACATAGCTTGATATACTTGAGGATGAGGGAAGGGAGCATTATGGTGCCTACTAACATTGCAAAAGCCTTCATACTCCCTAATAAAGAACTTTGCTGGCTTTCACTATAAAGTACAAAGCTTTAACTTTGAAGTACCTCCCCAGTGTCCATAGAGTCGTTTCAATATGCCATTGTTATACCATAAGCTTATAGTGGAGAATGGTGGTAGCCTTTTCCCATACCTGCTTTAAAAAAGAAACTGCTTCTCAGCACTAAAAATGTCTTACTAAATTGCTGCTTTTTCTGTATTTCAAACATCTTAAAGTTATCCATAGAGTGAGTACTGAAATATATTTAAGTACTTAAAATAGGAGGAATTGAAGAGTGCATAGTGTTTGCAGTTTAATACTGTGTTTGAGAGCAGCAAAAGCATTCACTGGTATCACCAAATTTCCTACTTGTATATATCCTACTTCTAAATGCTGTTTCTTATAGTCATTTTACATTTTTAATAGGCCAGGAGAATTGTTCTTCTAGGTTTGTGGAGACAGATTGACTTTGGTTGAAAGATACTTTCTTGTAAGAGTTCATATTCTATGTAGAAGAGATTCCTTTTTCCTGGAATGTAAACTTGTGTATTCAGTGGATGCTTCTGCAGCACCTAAATCCAGGGAGCTTGTGATTACCCTGCATGTCTGCATTCTGGTCTACTGATAAAGTGTCTTCTACTCAGAAAGTTGTCGGCGTGTTTCAGATTCAAGCCTTTCATGTCTTAGTAGATAGATACATAAAATATGGACAGTGAACAGAGAGTATATATTTGTTATAAATTTACAACCAACTGTGTGCATAGGAGTTTACCAATCAGCACAAATGGCCACTTCTTTTCTCTTTCAGTTTCCTGTCTTGTAGTAACTCAATGTCTTCTCATATAGGAGAACCTCAACCAAACATCCTTCACTGTAAATTTTCTTTCCTCACTGAAGAAATATATAAATGACCATAAACTGAAACTTCTTTTACATATTATTGTATGTGTTGAATCCACGGGCCAAATGTTGGGAGGAATTGGTAGGCAAATCTGTTTTTAATTTATGATTTGAGAAGACATAAAAGACATGGCAAATATTCAGTATTTGTTTAACCAAAATTTTTCAACAGAGATGAAAGTAGCTCATTTTTTACCATTTTAACATGACTTTCTCATGACATCAGTGTGAAACTTCTGTCAGTTTTCCCTTGTCTTTAGTCCAGTAGTAGGTCCTGTTCTTTAAAACTACCAAGCACTTTGAAAGATTTTTTCCAGCTCAAATGTATCTTAATTGATATTTCTTTAGAGTTGAATTTTTTTTCTGTTGCTCATCTGTTTTGGATGCAATTGTGAACAAATATGACAATATGTAGCTTTACTCTTGTTTGCACACCTATTGTTACAGAGGGAGCAGAAAAGTGTAAATGTGGAAGATACAGACAAAATTTGAAGCATTATGCTGGATTAGAAGAGGTGCTTAGCAGGACTGTTTTTCATCTGTACTTAACAGCTGCATCACAAGAAGCTTTTAATACTAAGAAACTAAGAGGAAAAGCCTAAGAGAAAACTTTCAGAGTTTAAATCTGTGGGTTACTTTGTTCATATGTTGAGATAAATGGAATCGTGTCAGACCCAAAGAAAAGTGATATATCTGCTCTCTATTGCCAGTGCTAAATGTGTAATTTTTTTAGAAGAGCATACTTAAAAGCATACTTGATATTGGAGATCTTAAAACAAGCTACTTTGAGTCAGTCCTAGTACCAACCTGACTGATGGGATGCAGAAAACTTTGCAGACTCTTTCAAGTTTGTTCATTGCAAATTAGTCTTGTGGTTATATTAATTTTATTAAGGAATCCCCTTAAGCATCTCTGGCTTACTAAGGAGTAGTAAGTCTCAAAGACCACTTCAGCTCTCTTGTAGAACAAGAAGATTACATTTGATTTCCTTATTGTCAAAATGCAAAGAGAAGGCTTTGCAGATGTATTAATTGATCTGAAGAAACAGAACAAAATAAAATTGTTCCATGGTGTGTTTTTATACAAGCTTGTAGTTAAGCCCCCTAACTTTCCTAGCTATTGAAAAAGGTGAATAAACTTGGGTTATTTTGCTTTGGACAAAAAAAATGTAATTATGTGTATTTATTTATCTTTCTGTCAAAACAGATAAAAAAGTAAATGGGCAATTCCAGAATATGTACAAGTTGGTACCCAATTCCCAAACACAGGTATGCAAAACAATCTTATTTTTTATACCGGATCTGTGATTTGTATGATCAAAAATTTTTTTCTTCTCTGTTAAATTAAGAAATACATTATCAAGGCCACAAATTGTCAATATAAAAAGCCAATCTGTTAAATCTAAGACCTGATAACTGTATGGAGAAGTGTTTATATGTGTGGATTGACAAAATGATTAAGAATGGTAGCTGAGATGATTATTTGTTAATAATGATATACTTATTCCAAATTAACAAAGATAAAGCTGATGGTTCCTGTGTGTGGATTCTAAACTTAAAATTTACTTATCCCTTTGTAGTAGTCAGGTTTGTTAACCTGTGATATTTGTTATGGTCAGTAAATGTTGTGATAATCTGGTGCTGTGGTTTTATAGAGTAATCTTGTATTTACTCAGATCTTCTAAAACATTATTCATCCTTTTAAATTCACTGGTAGTTCCCATGTGTGAGGCAAATGTTTGCAGAACCAGAGGAAGCTGGGAAGCACAATTTAATTTGCCTATCAAGATTGCTAGACAGTTCATTAAATCCTTGCATGAGGCAAGGTAGAATTTATCTGTTTCATCAAAACATTTGATGATTTTTATACATAAGTAAATAAAAAATCTGACATTTGACATAAGTGCTAGCCAGCAAGCTTGAATGGATTCATATGTTCATGGATTCACATACATGGATACTTTTTACTTCCAAAAGCTGAAGGAGAAATGAAGGCTCTCTAGACTGAACCTGTTACTAGACTATTTTAATACAGTGAAAAATAAACATTTTTTTCATGACTTTTGAGCATTACCTGTTCTACTATAAGATTAAATGGTTTCTTCATATTAATTTCTTAATTTTTCATCAAAGGGCACGTTTCAGCATCTAATCTTCTGGAGGTTGTTTTGTTTTGTTTTGTTTTAAGGTACTATCCCTGAGGTAGACTATGGGATAACTTCCCAAGAAAAGCTGAAGAAACCCTTCTTACTTCAGATATGTTAAAGGGTGAAGTCATGAGTGTTAATTATTATAAGGGAACAAACCATTCTTCACAATTCTCTTCTGTCTCAGATTTTCCAAGAGTTTTCATGGTAGGAAATGTTAATGTATGGTTTCTCATTGTCTGTTCTTCATATTTTACAATATTGTAAATGGTCTGTAATTATCAGATCTGGAATTCCTTCAGGATTCAAAACACAATTCATTACACAGTTTCTTCTATGAATAATTAGGGATGAATAGAATCATAGAATTATTAATGTTGGAAAACACCTTTAAGATCCTCAAGTCCAACTGTCTACCCAGCACTACCACCATGTTTACTACTAAACCATGCCCTCAAGTGCCATATCCAGACATTTTTTGAACACTTTTGGTGGTGGTAACTCCACCACTTCACCATGTAGTCTGATCCAATGCTTTACACCCCTTTCTGTGAAAAAGAATTTCCCTAATGTCTAATCTAAACCTCCCTGATGCAACTTGAGGCCATTTACATTCATTTAGGACAATAATACTTTAATTACTGCATTATATAGAGAGTTAGAGCAGTATAATGTTTAGGTTATTGGAAATATAGTCATGTCTTACATTCAAGAGAAAATGAGTAATATAGATGCAGATGGTTAGATATTCAGGAAGGTGACATCTCATTATGTCGATGGAAGTCAACTTTACTGTTCTTCCAATTTGTCCCATGGGGGTCTTTAAAGTTACACAGGACAGCCCAAGACCAGGTAATTGAATTTGGCATATGGAGTGCAAGCTGAGTTCCTTTGCTCCTCTTAGCAAACCCTACGTGCCAGGACCCTGACTGTTATGCTGCTTCTGTGGAAGCAGCGATTCTATTTATGCAGAAGTCCTGAGAAAGTGAGCTGAAACAGTTTTCCAAATATTTGCACAGCTTAAGCAAGAACGGAGGACTAGAGCCAACATCCAGTCTTTTCAGTCGGTTTCACAGGGCTTAGCTCCAGAGCAGAACTGCTTTATCACCCTCCACAGGAATATCACGAAAACATTCCACAGATTATTCTGAAAAGTCTTCTATCGTTCTCACTGTAGCGGTGGAAAAAACCATAAAACTAAGGCCGGGAAGCAGAGAGTGGCCTGCTCTTTAGTGTGCATTATTACCTCAGTTTCCACAGCATTAGGTGGGGTATGTTTCAGTGGTGAAAAGCCAGAACGAGTGTTATTTAGTGCCTTATTTTGCTCCAAAGACACAACTGACTCATATCAGCATGGTCCTAACTCTTCTCTGTGAGGACATTTTTAAAGGCTGTTTGTTAAAGTAACATTACTGATTTATCTAGTCATTCTGCCCTTTCAACATTGGTCACACATCAGCTTGTGTTTCTTTTGGCAGTTTCATTCTTTAAGTTTGTCCAAGCTCCTAGGGCTGTGTGAGCTACAATTAATGAGAGAGCAGAAGAAAAGGAGAGTTCTAGAGGTGGTCATTCTTCTTCCCTCCATAAACAATGGGTGGTGGTAGGGCAGAGAGAACGCAGTAAAAATTTATTTCCTCCTCTGTCTGATTAGGTTCCTGTAGTTCCATAATATCAGTCTGAAAGGTGGCGTCCTCCTCAATTTTTCCAGCCAAAAAGGACTCTTAGCTTCTACCATTTGTTAAATTGCAGAAGAAAACATTCTCACTCTTCCAAAACTTATTCAATCCTTGTTGACCGTGATCCTTCCCTGAGGAGTCTCTTACGTGTATGCCAGTTAGTTTTGGCTTTTTGAAGTACTGGAATGTAACAGAGGAAGAAAGAACAAATGTCTCTTCAAACAATGTTGCCATGTGTCGCTTCACAAAAGGTTTGAGACTTGCAGTCCTTGACGCAATATGCCTTTTTTTATATGGTCAGAAGTTAAGATGTCTGACTTGTGGTATAATTTACATCTCTAATTTTCCTCAGAAATACCTTAGGAATATCTTATTTGCCATCTTCTTTCATGATGGCAACAATCATTTTAGTAACTAATGTTCCTAATACCAATATGCTTTATATTCCCTGCCTGAAAAATACGATTGATAGTGCCATTCCTACAGATGATGGGCTGATGTTTCCAAAATAGTTTGTCTAAGTAATAAATTTTACTAGACATAGAAATACCTAAAGTACTCACTTTTTGAAAACTGAGAAGAAAGCTTTGGTGATAGCTTTCAAGTGCAGCACTTACAGCTACATGCAGGTGAACTGTGTAACTACAACAGGTGGGGAACAAGGATTTCATGTCAAGGATTTGTTCCTGAGTGAAAAACTAAATTTTGAATGTATTTAAATGTCTTTGGCATTTTTATATTGCTGTCATTACAGTCACCCATTATTATTCAAAAAAGAAAGAATGCTCTTCTCAATACAAGAACCTTTTAGTGGTAACAATTATGATTGGAAGTTCTGCGGTGGAGTTACACAAGTTCTCACTACACCTTAAGAGCTGTTTATTTGATTGTAAGGTTTCTGATAAGAAATACAATAAAATTAGCACCTTCTTATGATAAATATATTTCATCCCATTTGCTAGTCACGTGAAGAGTAGGGCTACTTCAGAAGGTGCTCATCTGCAGTACAATTTTTTTACTAGACGACAAAATAGAAATGTAGAAATTGTTAAGAAAAAAGGAAAAACATAAGCAATAAAAAAGGAAGAGTCTCTTCCATCCTTCGTTAATGACAATGATTGAAACCTCCACTTAAATTAAGATCGTGTTCGGGCCAATGCAAAACTGGTATTAGGTAGCAGAAAGTAATGGTTTTCACAGAATAAGTAGCCTCCATCCATTTCCCTAAGGAATGGTTCATCTTACTTGTGGAGATTGGCCTTCTTCCAGCTTCTTAGACTTTGGTATGTGTTTAATGTGTACTCAACAATTGTTTTTAAAGCTTTTCAAAATTATTTAGAACAGAACAAAAATAGTTATTCTTAGGTAAATAATTAACATTTTATCATCGAATGCTGAATTTTTATAAAAGCATTCTTTCATATGAAGTAGACCAGATATCATAAAGTGCAAAATGAACATTATCTGATTCTGACTTTAGCGGTATACATTTAGCATGGAAAGGTGATTGTTTGAGTAATTTTCTTTCTTGTAACTCAAATATAACTGAAAAAAATTTCCTTTTAAAGTATTTAGCATTTTTATATTGCTGGCATTAGAGTTTACCTCATCTCATCTCTTGATCATATTATTAAGCTTTCAGAAGTTGTTCCTAATCCTTATGTATGGTTACAAATACTAATTTATAATTTTGATATCGGCTGGTTTCTTTCTTTTAATAAATGTGGTCTATTCACATGTTCCTTTTGTGCTATCAATATAATTGAAAGCATTCACACTTAGGCAGGAAGTAATCTGGGTCAAAGAGAAGTGAACAGCAGAGTAGTCCAAATATTTAGCAAGAAAAAATGTAAGAAGCTCAGGGGTGACTGACCACATATACTTTGGAAATAATTTCGCCAAATGAAATTACTCTGAGTTAATCTACTTTAAGCAGGCTATGCACCCAAGAGTGCTGATAGTTTAGAAATATGCACCTGGTTCTGGAATAGTTTTTGTTCTAAAAAGAGTATTCTTGGGAATATATTTGTGTCTTGTGACCAAATTTGTAATTGCATCTGTTTCAGATGTTTTGCTGTAGTTAAATTTCAACTTTTCTTAGCTTTCTGGACTACTCTCCAGTGAGTGCTCAAGAGATTCCTAAGAGAAAAAAGGATTGGGGATTCCTAAGCTGTCAAATACTGTGTTTTTATAAAGCAAAACATCTCAAGCTGAAAGAAGGAGATCAAAATGCAGTATTACCACACTAGCCTGTGGGAACTGAAGTGATAGTGTAACCATCACTGACTGGGGCCAGAGACATATCCAGTGTTAACTTGGGACAGGCGCGGTATTGGATTAGAGCCCTCTGTTTTTATTACTCAGAAAGTTCAATTACTATCATGGCAGTTATCCCAAGGCTTTTTTTTTTTTTTTCTCTTTTCTCAGCTTATATTGAGTGATAATAAGAGGTTGGTCCCAGTCACAATAATCAAACAAGGTAAGTTTGTATATTTTCTTTAATTTATTCTTATACTCCGCAAGAGTAACTTGAGATGAAAATGAATGTCAGGGTAATGAGATGGTCTGCAGCTGGCCCTATAATAACATAAGCATAGAATATCATTTTTCACCAAAATTAATATGTCACAGGAAGGAGATGCACAATGAAGAGACAATGTAGAGGAAACATAGTTTGCAGTTTCTTAAACTGAATGTGAATACAGAAAGGATGATTATGGTGTCCTCATCTGCAAATATTAAGTTGAGAGAAGGTTTTAAGAATGCTGAGGCTTGTTTCCGGTGTGGTTTTGTTTCTCATTTTGTTTTTTAAAATTAGCTTCACATGCCTGTGTTGTCTCCACAGTTATTCAAAATCGGACGCAGCCAAAAACACCAGACAGTTCTTCTCTCCCAGGAGCAATATTAGGTGACTATAAGAATTCTTATCGTTTTTGTTAACCCTTGGTTGAAAATTAGAACTTGGTTGAAATGCTTTTAATTTTCTTGACCTTGATAGTTTTTTCCTTGCATACCAAAGGGTGTTTTGCAGCTGGTTCAGACAGCATTTGTTACATTTTATGGTGGTACAGATGGTTCAGGAGTGTCGTAGCTTAAGTGAAATAGAATCATTTCATTGTCTTTGTATTTAAAAGAAAATAGTGTCATTGTTTAAGCCAAGTTCTTTTATACTTCAGGTGAAGTTCTGAGGCAAAGATCCTGTTGAGATGAGGGATTGTTCTTATCGATCTTTTAAGGCAGCATGATAACATACCATCTAGAGACACAAACCTGTGCTGATACATTAGACTATAGGGAACTTGCAATTAGAACTTGATGTTAGATCTAGGGCATAACCCTCCAAACTATTCAGTTTCATGTTTTATGTTCTTGAGAATACACAATATCAGCCTAGAACATGAAAACAGGAGAAAGTCTATCATACAGTGTTCAGTGTGGCGAACTACTGGTCTGCCTGAAGTAGACATGAAAGGCTCACTGCATCATGCACCTTGGGACCAATTTATTCCTGGATTCAGGAGGGTGTTTAGCCCTTTATATATGGAAATATTTTCTATACCTGCATAACTTTGCATTATTTTACTTTGTGTTTTAATATATTGATGAGAATCAAACATATACTTACTAATCCAGTTTGGCGTTGGGTCTTCTTGGCACACAAGACAGAATGTCTCAGCATTTGTGATGCTATGTACTGCAGGGTTGTATGTTCCAGTATTGAGGTGGTTTTAACTCTGATTAATCATGAAATAGTGATAGTGCAGTGAGTGGTGTAAAGGGGAAATAGCATCAAATGGGAGTGATAATTACAGAATAGAACCAACTCGTTTCCCAGATACTCAGATTAAACTCCCAGTGGCTTAGTAGTAGTTGCTCACATATCTTGAAGGGCAGACTGTGTATTTTCATCTCTTTTGGAATTAATGGCACACATCTTTCTCTGTAGTGCACCTTATTGTTCCAGGCCTCAATGAAAGTCAGCAGAAACTTCCTCCTCTCCTTACAATAGATGGCTTATCTCCAGCATCCAGGAAAAAACTGGGTAAGCAGAAATGAACTAAACTTCTATTTTTTGTGAACAGTATCAGAAGTGTAGTGATGTGAGATGATGTGTGCAAGCAGAAAAGTCCTTTATTCCTCTTCAACTTTTTTTTCTATTTTATATTTAATAATTAGCTTGGACTTATACGGATTCATAGAAATTTGCCTAATTTAAAACAGGTGGACAGGTTTTTTAAGGTACTTCAAGGAGAAATTCTTATTTATTATCTGTAATGAAATCCATTTAAAATGGCAGCCAGAAATTAGAACTCTTCAGTACAGGTTTCATGAGTGTCTTGTGAACACGCCTGAAACCCAGAGGAAAAGCGTTAACTGAGGTTTTCATTTAGCATTATCATCCTTGAATAGCATAATTGTGGAAAATAAAGCTATATTTAAAAACCTTGACAATCCCCAAGTACATCTTTCACAGATCCCTTGAGCAGAGTTCTGGAGCTGATGGCTTTTGGCTTGACTAGTCTTAATACTTAATTTGAACTTCAAACAACTGGATCAGATTTTTTCTTTTCTTATTTCTGCTTTGTTTAATTTACTCTGTCATTCCATTGCAGGCCATGGCACATTCTCAGCATGGCTTGCTTTGTAGGGGGGAAACAGCAGAGCTTGTTTCTGTTAAGATATTGATACATGCAAGGGTAGAGCTACCCAGTAGAATAATATTTTAATGTGTTTGAGTAAGAATATGTTTATATTGAGGTTGAATTCCTTAAAAATTAGTATTACCAGCATTTGACACACAAATATTTTTCACATCATCTGTGGCTACTGAAAATTCAAGCTAAGTGTAGAAACATACAGTATTTATATTACAGAGCATTAAGAGTTTTTAATCATGATAATAACATTAATCACACATTAACTTGATTACTAATATTTTCTTTGAATATCAAGCATGGAAAATGAACTCTTTATCGTTACTACCTTAGCATTAACATGTATATAATGTACAAGTAACAAACCCAGTAGAACATATTTTGACAAATCTATTTTTCGTAACTCTTACTTTTAGGAAACCATGTTTTAAGACCTCTGGTATCAGTTTTAAACTGCAGTATCTAGAACTTTTACGTTTGTTTTCATTTTCTACCAGTAAAATTATATCTTTCTGCAGAAAAATTATGCTTTTTTTATGGATAGGTCATAAGGTTCAGTAGTTTGCACAGTAAAAATTGCAGGATGTGACTATGAGCAAAAGATGAGGAAAAAGACAGAGGTAGGTTCACTTGTCCTAGAAATGTCCAACTTGCTCATCTGGCTGAGTGTAGAACTTGGACTTCTAAATCTGAGTACCCTATGTCTAAAATCTGTAGCTGGTGTGATGCCAGTTTGTAGCCACTCTTTATAGCAGGTTACACAAACATCTTTGAGAAAATAACCAGGGCAGACAAGTGATGCTTTGTTATGTTCTGCTTACCAAAGAACATGAAGTGCGTGGATATTCACACAAGGGACTCCTGAATTTCAAAGGACTGTAAACCAGAGAAGAGTCATTGTAAAATTCCAAGCAAAAATACTCTGAGAAATAATATAAATATATCAAGTAATTGACAAAAAGTTGTGTTGTATGTTGTCTAAATCTATACAGGTGTCTTTCAGTGGTGACTGAGAATGGTGTATGTCTAAAATAAAAAGCTGAAAAGCTTATGCTGTGTGTGAAGTCATGACTAATTCTGATTTGCTGACTTACTGAAACTATTTTAATTCTGTATTATTTAGAAAAATCAAAATAATGTATCACAAAATTAAAAAAAAAAAGAATTCTCAAAGTACTTTTTCTTTCTTTTAAGTTAGTAAAAAACCTTACAGTTTGGAGGTTTTTTGTCTGTTTTAATATTAGTAGTCCAGGAAAAAAAAAACCAAATTTTTAATTAAAATAAAAATTAATTAATTCAATTAATTAATTTTCCCTGTATCCACTACTGAAATTTCTTTATGTCTGTTGGAATAGAAGGCTACTGTCATACCACTGTAATTGTTAGAAGTAATATCAAGGAAAATAAGGACATGGCTAGTATGACAATTCCATTGCATTTGAAATTTTATTAGGCTGTTCTTGTATAGCACTTAGAACTATATTGCATCTTTTAATTTTGAAAAACATTTTTGCTGTCTAGCTCAAATGCTAGGAAAATGAAAAACACTGGAAACCATTTTGCACTGTGAAAGTAAAGATTCATAAGGCATTAAATCCTTTCTGTAAATTTTGTATTTAGAGTATTTTTTAATGAACAAAGAAAAACCAAAAATGCATGTGCTTAGCAACTAGATAGATGCTTGTACTGATTGTGCAGTGGAAGTTCATTGGTTCCTAAAGGTATTCAGCTTTCCACATTTATCCATGTTGGCTTACCTTGTCAGACTGAAGTGGGACAGAAATAGATCTGTGGTAGAAGAGAGTAGATACATGTTTGCAGTTACTCTCTAATGTTTTTGTCCTTTTAGCTCAGAATGAAACTGGAATATGGCCTGCTGAATCCAAAACACCAGAAGTTCAAGAAATCTCCCCACAGTCCCTTCCAGGTAATGAAAATTCTACTCTTAGAAACTCTGTGTAATATATTTGCCAAATATATAAACTAAAATTAAATCCATCTTTGTGTTTCTCAATCTGCAGTTAAAGTCAGTAGTTGGAAAACAGGAGGATAGTGTAGCTGAATTGGTAACACTGAGTTATTGAATTGGACAAAAATCTGAATCTTAATTTGGAGGAAAGTTTCAGATGATACAATCATCAGGTTTATAAAACCCCTTAGAATTAAAATTGTGGGGTGCTGGATATCTTGAAATTGTGAAGAATGACAAAAAGGGTTTTCTTGTGATACACCTTGACATACTGATTTTAATGAAATGTGGCACCTGGGAAGGAGAGAATTGGTTCATTCTATTTCCTTTCCTTTGTGTTCTGTAATTATGTTTATGTAGTAATTCTAACCATAAAGATTGTCATCTCAAGACTTAGCACAGAATTGTATGTTTATGAAGTTGGATGATGTGTTGTATTATACATGGTAATTATTGGCAAGTGCTGTCTATTTTTTGTAAGAATTTAGTATCCATTTATTACAATTAAACACATTCTTATTGCCGTCACACTAATAGTTATTCACTAAAATTTTTAGAATAATTTTCATCTTCCATTTCATACTTCCTTTGTCATTTTGTTTCCATGTCCTTTTTTCCCATGACCATTCCTTTCAGTCATTATTTGTTGTTCTCAGCACCAGTGCCTCATATTAAAATAAGAGTGTGTCACACTACTTACATTAAAGAATGTATTAATTAAGATTACAGTATTTCAGTTAAAGAGAAAAAAAAAAAGTCAGAGAAAAAAAAAGAGGGAAATGAAAGTGAATCCTCTAAAAGAAAGACGTTATTTGAGTATAATTCTGTCTTGCTGTGGCATATGGAAAAATAACTTGAATACTTAAGCATTTGAGCCAGGCTTTCATGAGTAATTTAAGCAAGAGATCTGAGCCCCAGCCTGTTACAAAGGTTACATTTGAGAGACACTCTAATATATAAGCATAATTAATTGAGTTTAGCAATAGGATCTACTTAATTATATTTCATTCAGATGTCACTGTTTGAAAATCATACTGGATTCTTTGAGTAAGGCATAGTAATTGTTTGCTGTGGAAGGTTTAAGGACTGGTGCCAGAAGTGGCAACAGAACACTGATTTGAAAGGAGCTCTGTGCTGTAGCAGCTGTTGTGTCATCAGCTATGCTAGAAAGAAAAAATGGAGCTTGAAGTATTTCAGCAAGCAGGATGTCTGAAGGCTGTTCTTGCATTGCACTGTGTCTTTATCAAAGGGTGTGTTTTGTCATGTGATACAGTTTAGTAATTTTTTTTAATGTATTTGTCAACCAGGCATCCCACCATTTTCTTAATTTCAAGCCTCCCCTCCCTTGGCATGCACTTCCATGGAAAGACTGTTAGTAAGCTCTTTCATTTCTTGTTTTTGCCAGGCTTGTTATGATATTTTCCACTCAGGATTAATGTATTCTTAACACAGCAGCACAAATTCATAGTGCTTTTTTTTCTTCAGCCATTGAAATGTTGTCTAATACATCTCAAACCACTGCAACATTTTTTCTTCCCATTTAATGGAGTGTGAGTCTTTTTATTAAATTCATGGGGAAATTGGAGCCTACCAACACTCAGAATTATGAGCACATTTGCCAGGGACATGGAAGAACTAGTTTTAAAAAAAACCCACCTAGTTATTTCTTTATGTAAGGGGTTCTACTAGAAATTTAGCAAATTCTATTTCTGAAATAGGGAACGGGTTAGAAATAAAAAGTACCACCTGTGAATCCATTCACTAGGGTTGATGTTTAGTTAACTCCTTTGTTGTCATGTTTCCCAAGTTCTGTTCCTCCTGTGCTCCTTCTGGCCCCTTCTTCCAGCCCCTGAAGACTTCCCCTTATGCTCATGTGGTATACCAGGAGTGAGAGTATTACTTTCATCAGAATATTTTAATTGCTGTTGTGGAGTAAGAGAGGGTTAAGAGAAGTTAGAGGAAATACAGTTTAAGAAACATTGTTGAAGTGCATTCTTTCTGTACTCTATGCTGTCATATTAAGGTAACTTACCTTTCTTGGTTGTGTTAACACTTTACTTTGTAGATACACTTGAACCAGTACAGTAAGCCTCGTTTACCTGGTGCCCTGGAAAAGTCAGAGGCATTTTTCTTTTCTCTAACTTAGCTTTCAGAGCCTAAGTTCTCTACTTCCTGTATCTTTTTCCACAAAAATGTCTGCTCTTTTTTCATGTCATGACTACAATGTTCTGTGCAAAACTGAGGAGAACTTTGTTTCTTTTGTCTCAGTTCTAGGCATGCTTTATCTTATTCAGCTTGTTCAGATAATTTAGCTGACAAGACATGCTTCATATGAGCGCAAACCATCTGACCTCTAAAAATAAATCCAAAGCATCATAAATTCTGTATTTGCTTTCGGTGTGGAATTGTTTGGGCTTTTTTCATGATTACATCTCACCAATGAGAACTGTTAACTTCTGTAGTACTTCTGAGGTATGGGTTTGTTAGTTGTTGCTTCAGTGTCTCTTATGGGTGAATTTTCTCCGACAGGTTTCATAGAGATAAATTGCTTTAACTTCTCTGTAGAATGAATCCTCCTTTCACCGATGACAGTAACAGCACTGTAACTGATTTAGAAGCAGAATTGGGTCCTAATAAGGCAGCATCTGTAAAGATTTCAGATTTTGTGGCACTGAGAAGTACCATACTCCAAACCAGAAAATAGTATAATTGTTGTAGCCGTATTTAGAACATGGAAAACAGCACGTTTTTTCAGGAAATGAAATAAGAAGCTTATAAAACTCCATGATCCGTTCTTCTTGGAAGATTAGTTGATTATGGATTATGGATTATGATTCCAAATTGAATTTGGAAATTCAGTAGATTATGGAAAAAGCATGGAGACCATGGTAGAAAACCAAAAGTAACTGTCTTCTATTGTGTCTCAAAAGAAAGTGATCTTTTATTAAACTGAATGAATACTAAAACCAATGCTGTGTTGATGCTGATCACCGATATTAATGATCTCTTCTAATTACCAACATGTACTAACTACTGTGCAGTTTGCTCTGTGGAAGGAAACAATGCTCTTGTCACATTCAAGGCTGAGCCCATGCCATTCTGTGTTCCATATCCATAAGCTTTGTCATTTGTGATCTGAGATGACCAGTTGTGTGTACTGTATCACTGACTAAACGCCCGTGGGATCTCCAGCAAGATGAAAGTGATCTTGACTTACTTACCATTGGAATCAATTGTTATGTGAAACTCTGGAAGAGTACAGTTATGCACTAATATATTAAAACATGACCAGTGGTTCAGTTTAGGTACATTTAATGGCTGTTTAATAAACTGCCCATGCTTTACTCTGAAAATGTAGAATTAGAAGAATGAATGGAAATCAAAATCCATTATATTACTACTAGAAAAATGAAAGAGATGAGGTATTATAGGTGAATATTTGTTTATTCTTTTCCTGATAATTTTTATTTTAGGAGGATTAACAAAACATCAGAATAACGGGGGAAATCTTTGTGGTTCTCATTTTCCTTTGTTTATATGAAACTGTAACAAAATAAGTCCAAAAAATCATACAGACACAACTGAAAACAAAATTAAATATTAATCATGATAGAATCAAGCAACTGTAGAAATTACTTTAATCAGGTGACATAAAATGGTGCAAGGAAAGCAGCGGGCTTTGGGCAGTAGATAAAGAGAAGGGTAGAGAGATTCTAAATTAAATGAAGCTTCTTTCTTCTAGCTCAGGCTGAGAAAACACATGGACCTGAAGAATTTAAATCAACGCCTAAACCCAAATTGGTGCAAACTCAAAACATACCGGGTAACTAATTTTCCTGCTTTTTACCTTCTTTTTTCACTAGATGCTTTTTTCACCTCCAGCAGAACTTTCCTACTACTTGCTGCATCCCCTTTCTATTGGCTCCAAAGGAAGTACTAATTAAAAAATTCTGGTTCCTTTTGTGTTTCCAGTGATTCACACTGGAATGAAATATAAAGCAGGATACGTCTAGCTCTGGCTGAACTG